CCACACCCCACTGGGGATTGAGCCTGTAACCAGGGCACGAGACCTGACTGGGAATCCAACCATGACCTCCTGGTTCATAGGTCATTGTTCAACCACTGAGCCACACAAGATGGGTAGTTAGCTTCCTTTTAAATGATGAGCACACTGAACTTGAGATGTGGTTAAGTAACTTGCCAATGTCACATTGCTAGCAAGTGACTCAACGAGTATGCAAATTCTGGACCATTCAATTCCAAGACTTTAATTTTAAATACCCCAACAAATAGGTTTTGCTATTCATTAAATTTTTGTCAGAACCAACTATTTAGGATTAAGTAACAGTTGTCAGAGGTGGAATGACAACTTTAGATCTGGTTTGCCATCATATGTCATTTACATTTGTTTCCCCAAAGACTTGCCAAGCACAAAGCTGTGTCAACTTTGCTTAGGAACTCCCTATCAGATGGGTTCTTTAGTGTCGTTAACCCCACACATGTGACACCTAGTGGTTCCAGATTAAGTACTGGTAAGGGCTGAGGATAAAATCACTCCCCTCTCTGGCTCCCCCTCTCTGGCTTCCCCCCTCCTCCCCAGAAGTGGAGTTCCTTGCTTTAGGGTCCAGCCCAGGATGGTGTTCAAGAGTACATTTTCAGTAATAATCTGATAACTGGCAACCAGCGTCAGAACTGTTTCCTCAATTGCCACTGGTTGGTAGTCCTTTCATCTAGAACACTGTGTTCCACATCTTGCTGACATTCTGACATCTTCTGAGCACTTGGGCTAGGAGAAGAGAGGGACACAAACACATATGTAGTTGTCCTGCTTTGACATTGATGGACAGTAAGACCCAACTTATTCCACTGGATGAAGAGTGACAGTTAAAAAGATAGGTTCTTTATGGGTGCCTTTTTCTTTTTCTATTTTGTGCCTGGATCAGCTCTCTAAGAAGCAGGTATAAGAGTCTTCCTTATTCCGTAAAGACAAAGGACCAAAACAACAAAACCCAAACCAAAAGTAAAACAAAACCCACTGTCCCTGCTGTTTCTTTAGTACATATGGGTAAGGGTCATGGGCAGAGGGGAAGAGAGAGAACAGAATGGACCCCTGGAGCCTGTCTTATTTTGTGTTCTCTGTAATTCAGGCTTATTCCTTCCTGCTCCCATTTCTAAGGGGGGAAAAGCCTATAGTTAAGAGTCTGTTTTTCTTCCCTGTGAAATGTAGGGAACCTAATTTCAGAAGGTTGTGTACTTGAAAATTACCAACCTACCATTAACATTCATGTTTAACCTTGCGCGCTTCCTCCTAGGTCTAATTTGAGAGAGAGAGAGAGAGAGAGAGAGAGAGAGAGAGAGAGAGGGAGGGAGGGAGGGAGGGAGGGAGGGAGGGAGGGAGGGAGGGGGAGGGAGGGAGGGAGGGAGGGAGGGAGGGGGAGGGAGAGAGAGAGAGAGAGAGAGAGAGAGAGAGAGACACTACTTGCTTTTCTTTGGTTGCAAGCAAAACAAACAAACACAAATCTAAGAATGTTAAAAGTTTTGTTATGTACTTTCTTTTTGAGGGGAAGAAAAGTTCTGACTAGAAGCTGTGAGTGGTAGTGAGTAGGCAGGCCACCCCCTGTGGAGGGACTAGGTTAGGGGTGGAAGCTAAACAGAGCTGCTCTAGAACAATTTTCCAGGGGACGGCAATGGCCTGTGACCCCGGTTCCTGGGGTCAGTCCTACAAGCTTCTGAGACAGTCTTCTTCCTCATTTACATTTCTCATCTCTTCTTTGAACTCTGACTCGTTCTCCTTGTCTAGTAATAGAAACGGTGCCCGAAAGCGTATCCCACACATGCGCTGGGCATCTCTGGGCAGAAGTGAGATGCTCCCATGCAGGGATTTTACATGTCGTCATTGTACAAGACTCTGCATGTAATGGACAGAGAGACTTTCTAACAGCTCTGTATTGCTTTGTATCTTTGGTTGTAAAAGCACTGAAGGCCAACAGTACAAATCCTCGCTTTTTCCAGATGCTTTCCCCTAGGCTCTGTAGATACCCGCTCTTCTTTCCATGTCATTGCAGGTCCAAGATCTGGCACATATTTGATATAACATAAGAAGAGTCATTTGATTTCTAAACTCCAGTGTCACCATTCTCATTGCCTGGTCATCAAACCACCTATTGGAAGTTTTTGCTGTGGCATTTCCCCACTCCTGATACCAGTTTCTGTGTTAGTTAGGATATGGGTTAAACTGCTGAGACAGAGACCTCAGTGGCTTAAACAAACAACTTCGTCTTGTGTAATATTTCTGAGAGTGAGAGGTCCCTCCTGATGGGGCATCTTTGCTCCCTCTGGTTGTCTGTGGTCCCAGGTTCCTTCCGTCTCATGTCTCTGTTGTCCCTCGGCACGTTACTCTCACCTGCGGTGCCACATCCAAGTGGCTGATGGTCCGTGTTCCATGCATGGGGAAGGGGGGAATGGTTAGTTCTTTCAGGGGAGGTAGAAGCTGCATGGTCACTTCTGGTCATTTTCTCATGGTGAGAACTTGTCAGGCTTGGCTGCAGAAAACATTGGGAGACAGTGTTGCTCAGTGGTTGAGCGTTGGCCTGTGAGCCCAGAGGTCACAGTTTGACTCCTGGTCTTTGGGCCACAAGCTCAGGTTGAGGGCTGGATCCACAGTAGGGGGATGTGCAGAGGCCTGCTGATTCGTAATTCCCATCATTGATGTTTCTATCTCTCTCCCTTCTCATAAATCAATAAAAAAATATTATTCAAAACAAAACAAACCTTGAGGAATATAGTGTATGAGAATGAAGTATGGGTTTTGTCCTTTGTCCATTTTTCTATTGGTTATGTGACTTACTCATCTGTGGAATACCTTACATCACATGTGTCAAACACAAGGCCCGCGGGCCAAATCCGTCCCTCCAGGCCTTGCAATGTGGCCCGCACCACGCTGTCATCACTGCACTCTGCTGCGTTTCCATCACAATGACAGTTTATGACTGTTCAGTAAACCATTCGGCCCGCGATTTAGGCTGGATTTTAGATTTTGGCCCCTTCTCTGATTGAGTTCGACACCCCTACCTTACATACTCTGGATTTGAATACCGTTTAGGGGATACAGGTTACATTTATTTTCTTCCAATCTGTGCATATTTTTCATTTTGTTCATGGGAGGACTTTGTTGTATATAAATTAAAAATTTTAATGTAGTAAAATTTGGAGATCTTTTTATAACTTTTGATGGGGTGTACTTTATGTCGGTAGTTTTTATTTTAGGTACTCTACATCCATTTTGTGGCTGGGGTAGGCAGGGCAGGTGCCATGATTGATAGACTCCACAAAAATGTAACTTAGGACCGACTTTCCTCTTTCAATTTTAAAAAGAAACATGTTCTTTTAAATAGGAAAAACAAAACCATCTGTTTGATGCCTCATCTTATCAATTTTATTATTTGACAGGATTTATAATTATTTGCCCCTTTTCTAACCAAACAATTAAGTAGTTCTCCAAATTATTCAGTTGTCAAAATATTTCCCTAACATTCATTTTTAATCTAGAAGACTCTGATAGTCCCAAAGGTAGGGGACTCATTGAAATGCTAACCCAGAAATTAGAGATCAAATGTGGTGTGAGGGTCAGTGTTCCAGCTGCTGGGTGTGGCTCGTGTGCAGTGGAAATTAGATCAGGAACTCAGGAGAAGAAAGAGGGTCAGAGATGTGGATTTAGGAATCCAGAGGAGACTGTTGAGACCTGGATAGTAATTAAGTGCCTCACAAAAGAGCACATGTGGAGAGGGCTGTACCCGCATTTTGAGGTCTGAGAGAAACCAGCTGCAGGGACAGATGTTAGCATCTTCTAACTTATGGGCAAGTAGATCGAGGCTGAGACAGATGACTGTACCTATAGTTAGTAGTTGGTAGAGTTGGTACCTGGGACCAGATCTTCTCTTTTTTAAAATGTTTTTATTGACTTCAGAGAGGGGAAGGAGTCGGGGGAGAGAAACATCAATTATAAGAGAGAATTATTGATCAGCTGCCTCCTGCACACACCACACTGGGGACGGAGCCAGCAACCCAGGCATGTTCCCTGACAGGGAATTTGAACTGTGACCTTCTGATTCCTAAGTCTATGCTCAACCATTGAGCCACGCCGGCCAGGCCTGGGACCAAGTCTTTTTGACACCAGAGCCTAACGTAACCTGATGTACCCCCTGCTTACAAAGGCGGAAGAGGTAGTCGTTGGTGTCAGTTGAATTTTCGATTATTGGTTCTGCTGCCCTGGGTGGTGGAGAGGGTGGTTGCTGTGGTACAGGCATGGGTGGAGTCACTCATAAAGTTTGGTGGTGGAGGAGGACAGGCAGAGAGGAGGAGCTTGAGGGACTGTGAGGTGTGTGTGTAGGGGTGCAGAGAGATCTGAGTGAAATTAGAGGTCTAAGCCAAGACTTCTGTTTGCAGAGCAGAAAGATAGGAAGGGTGATCGATCGTGTTAGAAAATCCTTGCAGCAGTTCCGTTGCCTCCTTAGAAAGTACATGCATGTGAGGTGTTTGGGGTAAGTCTTGACGATAGTTGAAAAGGCAATAAAGTGAAGGTGTGTTCTTTTCAATTATTTAGCTTTTAGAGTGGCTGATAATTAGAGGGCATAATGATTGTTTCAAATTGACCATAATCTCAATTTATAAATTGTGAAGAAAGTTTTTTTTTAATGAGTTACTTTGGAATACATTTGTTCCATATTCAAGCTGCTATAATCCTGAACAGTTTATAACAGTTCCTACTAGGAGGAAACTTCTTAGAGTGAATTGTAATTTGAGGACAACGAAAAAACACGATATGTTTTATATTATTTGATTGTCATATTGCAGTAGAGAATAAATATATAAGCAATGCCATTAATTGTGCCATAAACTTTTCCTCTGTTAGTGAAGTATTGTCATTGTGTTATCCTTTTTCCTTTATGACAATTGCTTAATCGGTAAATTCATCAAAGATTAATATAAATGCAAAAATGACTTTCTATTCTCTTGTTCACTATGCAGCAGAAATCAAAGAACAGTCTGCAGAAGAGGATGCTGAGGTGGAGGCAGATGGCAGCAAGCGGCTGGCCCCGGCCCTGCAACGCTCTGTGTCTGAAGAGTCTGCGAGCTCCCTGGTCTCAGTTGGTGTAGAAGCCAAAATCAGGTTAGAGCATGAGTGCAGCTGGTTGGAGATGAGCAACAGGAGAGTGCAGCTTAGGTTGTGAATCTGGATGGCATTTTATTATTTAGTAGCTTTACATTTATTTCAGGCTGATGCCTCTCTGTGTAGTTGCGGGGAGGGGTGTCTGTGGGCTCAGGTGTAGAACCAAGCGATACTCTAGCGTAGAGGTGGAGAATGTCTGGCCCAAGAGCCATATGAGGCCTGGGAAATCATTTGGTCTGGCCATGCCAAGGTATTGGAGGTGAGTGAATTAAGAAGGCGGGGCTTTTTTCTGCATTCTATTAGATTGATAATTTTTTCCCCTATTGATTATACATTATAGTTTGTTTTTCAGATGGTTTTCCTTATATTAAGGCTCAGACTTCATTATTCTTTATTGAATTTAGTTTTGAAAGAATTTGAAACAGTTTTTATTGATTTTTTTTAAAAAAAAAGTCTTATATTTTAATCTCTCTTCAATCCGTGGCATTTCATTTTCAGTTCTATCATATAACCCCTACCCCAGAAGGTAAAGAACAGTTCCAGCCCTAGCTGGCTTGGCTCAGTGAATAGAGCGTTGGCCTGTGGAGTGAAGAGTCCCGGGTTCGATTCCGATCAAGGGCATGTACCTTGGTTGTGGGCTCAGCCTCAGGGGGGAGTGTGCAAGAAGCAGCTGATGAATGATTTTCTCACATCATTGATGTTTCTATCTTTTCCTTCTCCTTTCCTCTCTGAAATCAATAAAACATCAACAACAAAACAAACAAACAAACAAATAAAACCCCAACAGAACAGTTCCATCACACCAAAACTTCTCTGAAGCCCATTGTTGTCACCCCGACCTTGGCTTCTGCCCTCAACAGCCACTCACCTATTCGCTGTCCCTATCATTTTGGCTGTGCAAATACATCATGTGAGTGGAACCATCAAGTATCTATCCTTTTTCTTAGCACAATGCATTCAAGGTTCATCTGTGTGATTGCATATGTTGTGGTTGTTCTCTTTCTATTGCTGAGTAGGGTTCTGTTTTATGGAGTTGCCTACCATGGTGGTTTTTATGCATTTCTCAGTACAGAGTATTTGGGCAGTTTCCATTCCTTGGCAGTTATGAATAAAATTGGTGTAAATAGTCTCTTCTAGGTTTTGGTGTGAACATAGGGTTTTTATTTCATTTGGACAAATGCCTGAGAGAGAGATCATTTTAAAGGGAAACACAGTGTTTCCTCATGCACTGTACTGTTCTGTGCTCCCACTAGTGATGTGTGAGTTCCACTGGAGAGTGGGTAGGAAGGATGCTTCTTGTTTTGATTCAAATTGATTCTTAGGCACAGTGCCCTTAGGTTTCAGGGATTGGTATTCTCAGTGGTCCCGCCAAATCCCCCAGCTGTGGGAGAACTGGGTCCAGGATGTAGTCTTGCTCCTTGTCCAGAGTTAAAAGTCCCTCCAATTCTATTCCTCCATCCACAGTTGGTCATCACCATTGCAGCATGGTGATTTTTAAAAAAATATAGTTTTTATTGATTTTTTACAGAGAGGAAGAGAGAGGGATAGAGAGTTAGAAACATCGATGAGAGAGGATCATCGATTAGCTGCCTCTTGCACACCCCCCACTGGGGATGTGACCGCAACCAAGGTACATGCCCTTGACCGGAATCGAACCTGGGACCTGAGCCATACCGGTTTCAGCAGCATGGTGATTTTTGCTGTCTTCCCACCAGCCTAAGTTTTTTGTTTCCCAAGAAAAATGGGAGAGACAATCTGGGTGGATCTTTGTGACTTTCCAGATTCCCCTCCACCAACTACCGTGTTTCCCCAAAAATAAGACATCCCCTGAAAATAAGACCTAGCGCAACTTTGGGAGAAAAAATTAATATAAGACACTGTCTTATTTTCGGGAAAACAGGATAGTACCATAACTGGCACATCCTTGGGACTCTTCCCCATGCACATTGGAAATCCAAAGACAGATTCCTCTTGTGTCTGTAGGTCATGGATGTTTTACATTTTGATACTCAGCCTTCATTAGTTTCTTGAATTTTTAAAAAAATTTGATAAATCTTTATTGTTCAGATTATTACAATTGTCCCTCTTTTTCCCCTTCAATAGCTCACCTCCACCAGGTTTCTAACCCACCCTCTGCCTTTACCTCCCCCACACTGTCCTCATCCATAGGTGTATGCTTTTTGTCCAGTCTCTTCCTGCACCCCCCACTTCCCTTTTCCCCCAAGAATTGTCAGTCCACTCCCTTTCTATGCTCCTGATTCTATTCTATCTACCAGTTAATACTGTTCATCAGATTTTTTATTCCCTTGGTTTTTAGATTCACTTGTTGATAGATAAGTATTTGTTGTTCATAATTTTTATCTTTATCTTTTTCTTCTTCTTGCTCTTCTTAAAGAATATTTTTAGCATTTCATATGATTCTGGTTTGGCGGTGATGAACTCCTTTAGCTTTTTCTTATCTATCCTTGAAGCTCTTTATCTATCCTTCAATTCTGAATGATAGCTTTGCTGGGTAGAGTAATCTTGGTTGTAGTTTCTTGCTATTCATCACTTTGAATATTTCTTGTCACTCCCTTATGGCCTGCATAGTTTCTGTTGAGAAATCAGCTATGGGTGCTCCCTTGTAGGTAACTGTTTTTCTCTTGCTGCTTTTAATATTCTCTCTTTGTCTTTTGCTCTTCTTGGCATTTTAATTATGATGTGTCTTGGTGTAGTCCCCTTTGGATTCCTTTTGTTTGGGTTTCTGTGCGCTTCCTGGACTTGTAGATCTATTTCTTTCACCAGGTGGCGGAAGTTTTCGGGTTACTAGTTCTTCAAATAGGTTTTTAGTATCTTGCTCTCTCTCTTCTTCTGGGACTCCCATAATTCGGATGTTGGTACACTTTAAGTTGTCCCAGAGGCTCCTTACACTATCTTCATATTTTTGGATTCTTTTTTCTTTTCTCCTTTCCAGAGGAGTGTTTTTTGCTTCTTTGTATCCCAAATCTTTGACTTGATTTTTGGGATCATCTAATCTGCATTTAGGTCTCTGTATAATATTTTTTATTTCAGTCAGTGTATGCTTAATTTCTAGTTGATCCTTTTTCATATCCTCAAGGGTCTCATTAAATTTATCGGCCTTTTCTAGAAAGTTCTTGAAAAATCTTATAACTGTGGTTTTGACCTCTATATTCATTCGTTTGTTTCCCTCTATTTCCATCATTTGTGACCTCCCTTTTTGCCTTCACATTTTCGCTGCTTCCCTGAGTTGATGGAGCTGCTTTGTATGCTAGGTGTCCTAGCAGGGCCCAGTGGCTCAGTCTCCCCAGTTACCTGAGGTAGATACTCTTGGTGTGCCCCTTTGTGGGCTGTGTGCATAGTCTTGTTGTAGTTAAGCCTAGATTGTTGTTAGTATCACTGGGGAGGTTGATCAGCTGTGTCTCCACTGGGAGAGCTTCTGTGCTCAGCTTGGATAGGGTAGAGCAGGCGTCCTCAAACTTTTTAAAGTGGGGGCCAGATCACGGTCCCTCAGAGAGCTGGAGGGTCGGACTATATGAACTACTAATTCCTACTGTAACACCTCAGCTGCGCTCACTGCCCAAAAAACCTGGCGGGGCCGGATCAGACTCCTCTGCGGGCCGCATGTGGCCCGCGGGCCGTAGTTTGAAGACGCCTGGGGTAGAGTCTCTGGGTGGAGTAGACAGCATTGGTTTCCCATCAGGCCCTCTCTAAGAGGCCTATGTGTCTTAGTGTCCCATGGCAGTGGCTACACGCACCTCTGAGAGAAGGCTGCTCTTGAGTTTCGCCCACTGCCAGACAGTCCAGTTTCTCCCTGAATGAGCCTGGGTGTCCAAAAGTCTCTGCACTGGGGTTCAGTGCAGTTGGGAGGTTTTGTTTCCCTCCCGAATGAGAAAGCTAACCGTGCTGTGAGTAAGCCAGCTGCACATTCAGCTGCCTGCCTTTACCGCGTCATGGGTCTCCGCACCTCTGTCCTCCACAGTTCCTCTGAGTCTCAGTGTCTTTTTCTCTTTCCTTCTAGTTGTAGAATTCCCACTGAGCCAGCTTTCCGGTGATTCTGGATGATGTCCATTCTGTCTTCCAGTTGGAGTTTTGAAATTGTTGTGCAAGGCAGCAGTATAGGTGTTTACCTATGCTGCCATCTTGGTTTCTCTCAGTTTCTTAAATTTTTTGTTGAATTCTTCTTATCCTGTTTGTAAGGCATAAGGAGGCCTCTTCCTCACATGCAGCAGGTGCTTGTATCTCATCTCTGTATGAAAATGCCTGTCCTTCAGTTGTGGGTGAATTGGTGGCCCTGCAGCTCCTGCAGTCTGATGGGCAAACAGATGTGAATTTGTAGACTGTCTGGCGAGTGTTGGTGGCAAGGAGGGAGCAGTGCTCTGCAGCTTTATAAATCTGAAGTGGAGACCAGGGGTTGTTTCTGTGATCCCCCCAAAGTTAACAAATTACTCTGAGATGTTCAACTTTCTTCCTACATCTCTTATTACCTTTCCTAATGCTTCAATAATTTGAGTACTTCTCTAAAAATATTTTCATGCGGGCCTATTGTATGGTAAAATTTCTGAGGTCTTATAATTCTAGGAATGATTTTATTACACCTTCACTTTTGTTGTTGTTAATTCTGACCTATTTTCCCTTTGATTTTTAGAGATAGTAGAAGGGGGAGGGTAGTAGGATAGAAAGAAGGGGTGGGGGGGGAAAGAGAGAGAGAGAGAGAGAGAGAGAGAGAGAGAGAGAGAGAGAGAGAGAGAGAGAGAGGGAGAGAGAGAACACGAACACACACCTGGATATGAGAGGGACACATCAAATTAGTCGATAAAAATAATTATTGAGAGCCCCTTCTAGTTGCTAGATAGGATACTGCCCGATTCATGAATCATTTAATAAAGCCAATTAGTTCTTCAAATAAAAAATTGCCTAAAAGAGATTATTTCTGTCACCTTTTAATGCAAGGCATTATGAAGTTCATGGGTAGATATGGCAGCGGTGATGGCGGAAACTTTGATTCCTGGGAAGAAAGATTTGGGTGGAGCTGTTGTAAATGAGTGGTGAAAAGAAATATACCCAAGAGAGAGTAATTTTCATTCTGTTCTTTCTAAAGTCCCTCATTAAGCATACACCCCACCAGCATATATTGTCCTTGTCTTTTAATTTTTATAATAGTTTCTTTAAAAAATTAACAGATTTTATTGTTTAGGACAATTTCAGGTATACAGAAAAATCAAGCGGATGGTAGAGTTCCCAGTGCCAACCTTCTCCTGCCTCTACGTCCCCTATTGTTAGCATTGTTCACTAGTGTGGCACATTTGTTACAACTGGTACACCAGATGTGACACATTATTACTAACTGAAGTGCATAGTTTACACTAGGGTTCATTCTTTGTGTTACATAGTTTTCATAATTGCATAATGTCAGGTACCTGTCATTACAGTGTATCCTAGGAAACGGTTTCTCTGCTCTCCCAGTCCTTGCTCCCCTTCTTCATCCTTTCCCATTCCTGTCGAACCCTTTTCACTCCTCCCTGGTTAACTGTCCAGCCCAGAAACCACTTACATTTATGTTTTCGTATCTTTCCCTGTGTCTGTGTTGGCGGTAATATATCATGCATAAAGAACGTCCTATCAGGTGTTTAAATAAAAACTTTGTCGCCACTTGTTTTACAGAGCTGGTCTGTAATTGTGTGGCCATTAAACCCTATCCTTTTCCCCAGTCCTAGCTTTACTTCCTTTATTCTTGTTAATACTTTGAGTTTCTTAAATCATATTTAAAAGAAAATCGTGTTTCTAAGTACAAATATAATTTTTGATTTGATATGTTTGTTATTTTAAAAAAATACCTTGTGGAAAAGTAGAATTGCAAATGTATAATTGTTATTAAACTTAATTGCTCTTATGCTGTAGACATATTAGTATTTAAAAATGTCTTACTAAAAACACAATATTTAATTTTAAAACACAGCTACCTGTAGCTGTCACTTTGAAAAATTAAATTTCACTTTCTCCTTTACTTTCATTTCTACCAGTGAACAGCTCTGTGCTTTTTGTTACTGTGGTGAAAAAAGTTCCTTAGGACAAGGAGACCTAAGACAATTTAGAGTAACGCCTGGATTTATCTTGCCGTGGAAAAACCAGCCTTGTAGCAAGAAGGACATGGATGACAACAGCAATGGGACCTGTGAGAAAATTCAGAACTCAGCACCACGAAAACAGAGAGGACAGAGAAAGTAAGCAATTTTTTATTTATGTTTTGGTAAGCCTCACCTGTGGACATATTTTTCCCATTAATTTTTAGAGAGAGTGGAAGGGAGGGGGAGAGACACAGAGAGAAACATGGATGTGAGAGAGACACATCAATTGGTTGCCCCCCACATGCACCCCTCCTGGGGTCAGGGGGATCCAGCCTGCAACTGAGGTATGTGGCCTTGACTAGAATCAATCCTGAGACTCAAGCCCAAGGGCCGATGTTCCAACCACTGAGCCAAATTGGCTAGGGCAAAAGTAAGCAATTTTAATTTAAGTGGCTGGAATGCATTATGACTATATAAGTTCTCTTTATTGCATTGTTTGTGACTGTATAAATGGTGTTACTGAACAGTTTCTCATGTTTTCAACTTTCATAGGGTCTCTATGACTCAGCATTAAACCAACAAACACTCCTTTTCTCAAAATTTCTTATTTTTAAAAATTTGCTATCTTAACAGTATATTAAAATCAATGTGATCACAAAAAGTTAATTTGTAGAAGAGAACTTTAAAGAACATAATGTAAATGGAAAAGAAGGTTTAAAAAAATTAATGAAGTCTTTTCTTTCTCTAAGTAAGTTTTTAATGGTTTGTAAGAATATAATAAGAGAACAGCAAAATCAAAGTGTTTTTCACTAATGTTCTTTATGTACCATTTATTGATTTATTTTTATGGTTCAGAGAATGTTGAGCTGTCTTGTAAACTCTTATCACAATATAGTGTGGAGTTGCTTTCTTTCTAAGTAGTAATTATATGCTGAGAATGCCCTTTCTAAAGTTAAAGATGTTCTTTTCTTTTTTTTAAAAAAAAGAAACAAAAATATTTGTATATCTACAATATATATTAAACACTTTTGTCTAATAAAGTTAAGAATCTCTTTATATGTTGTACAGGTTTGGTTAAAGGCCATCTTATTAATCTTTGGATTTGGCTTTGGTAGTCAAGAGAACAGGATTTTCTGAGGTCCACGAGAAAGTGTAAAATTAATTTAGCTTGGAAGCCTCGCCAGTTCTGCCCCTGGAGGGTGATGATGTCATCCTCCAAGTGCTTGTCTGGCTTCCCTCCAGAGTTCAGTTCTAAGGCATTGTTGTGTTGTACCTATTTGATTGGTTCCTTCTTTTGGACTGCTGCCAATGCCTTGAAGACCTGAAGTAGGAAATGAAAAAATCACAAGAGAGAGTCTTTTAAAAGAGTTTAAGGTGGAACAGTTTAAGGAAGTTTAGAAGTACTGTATCTGGAGTCTCGATATTTTAATCATACACGCCAGCTTTCCCATTGTGATAAAATGAGTGGTTTTATCCTACGGAGGACTGCTGTAATCCTAAGGAGGGCTGCTGTCCTCAGGGTTGACATCAGCACCTTAAAACCTGACAGGTAAATCTGATTGAGCCGCTGGTTAGGACCCATTAGTAATTGACTGATTATCCATTCCTTTGGTTTTTATACCCATCCCCCATTACAATGTTCATCAATAATACAAATTTATGGATTGGACCAGGTTATATCTTATATCTTCATGTTCTGCATTGAATAATGACAATTATGTCAACACCTGTTCTGTGGAATACAGTTGGGTTTCAATACTTACTTATTTTATAAGCTAATTTTTAGTGAAAATGTTTATGAGCTAAGATGTTTATTATGTAAAAATAGCTTTTTTTGGTTTAATGAAAGTTTTTATGCACACTTAGAGTTTACCAAGTTATTAAGTAATGTTAATAAGCCAGTTAGTGGATCTTAGGAATAAAGCACATTTATAAAATTTGGAAATCATTTAAGAGAAAACAATTTAGGTTGGTAGTGATTTTAAATATTTACAGAATATGTAACTAATGGGCTGTAAATTAGATGAACAGCTAGTTGTTTTTTGTTTTTTGTTTTTTAATTTGTAAAGGAGATTTTTAAATTGTTCTTTCTTCTTGATTTGCTAAATAGAAAGCTATGTAATAAAGGGTTTATTTCTACTTTCCTTTTGTTTATACTTAAAATTTCGGGGGTATGTTCTTCATCTGGCTTCTCTTGATTCTCTTTCCCAAGGAGGGTTGCTGTCATCTTACTGATTGGGTGCATACATACAAACTGGTTGAAAACCTGAAGGGGAAATTGATTAAGCCTTGGGTTAAAAACTGGTTAGTAATAGACTGGTTAGCCATCCCATTGGTTTTTATACCCATCCTCCCATAAAAGACTGGTACAAAGGAAACATGTCAAAAATGGTATATTAGTCATTATAAATGGGCTACTAGTGTTTTCCCCCCTCCCAATAAAATAATAATGATTAATAATGAAGACTATATTTGTAGGAATGGAGATTATATTTATAGGAAAGAGTTTGTTCTCATATTCTGTGGACATTTAGAAAAATGAGAATTTAAAGATAGCACAGTATGCTAAACTTTCTAAAAAAAAATTAAGTCTATGAATTTTTAATGCTAAATATAAAACATATTGGTTATTTTTACATGGTTTGATATTTAAATATACTTACTGAAATATGTTAATACTTTTTTTTCTTCCAATGATTCCAGGTATAAAAGTTTAGTACCTTGGTCAGTGTGTTGATACTCTTTTAATAGGAGTCGTGGTAAATACCCAGCAGACAGAAGGGCAGTGAGTTGTGATCTATATTCCATAGTGCGTAATTCCATAGCATTTAATCCAGGTGGTAGGTCAGATACTGTGCCACAGGAGACATAGCATTTTACTGACAGCTACCTGGATGCCCACGCTTCATGTTTAAATGCAATAGCAGTTGTTATTTATGTAATTATCTTAATACCTGAAGTTTAAGGGCCTTGGAAGTCTGAAATCTCCCATTTATTGTGTACCTTATTCAGTGTTGGTTTGTATACTGTGGTTTTTACTGTTACATCATCATCTTCCTTGTCTCCAACTCTCTGGTGGCTATTTTGCTTTTGCCTTTTTTACTTCTGACTTGTGAGGTGCGGTCTTGGTAGAGAGAACCTGCGGCAGACCAGCTGCCGAGATTTGTCGAAGGGACCATAAGCAGCTCCAGATGACATGCTCTGCTCCCACGCCTCCATCTTCACACTTAGTGCATTTTCATTTCCCCCGAGAAATAACCTTTTTTACATAAACAACTGCCAGCTCTGCAGTGGTAGACCTCACTTACAGAAAAGCAAATTAAATTTCTGATTTGAATGAGTTAAGTTTTATAAGCTTTAAAGAAAGACCAAAGAGAATATTTACTTCATATGATAAAATATGGCTCCTGATAAGAATTTTAGAGCTCAAGTTAAAAAAAAAAAAAAAAAATATATATATATATATATATATATATATATATATATATATATATAACTTTATATATATGTGTGTGTGTATATATATATATGTATATAGTTTAAAAAATAGTTATAGAATGGCAAAATAAATGTGAAACTGTGATTTTTACCTTTTTTTTACTTATTTATAGACTTTTTAGTTGTTGCTTACACTGTGTATGAGTAATAACAGATGTGTTCTAAAAGTTGTTTTATGACAGCTTATGCCTAATAAATTAAAGATGACCTGGCAATAAGTGATGTTTAACTTATAAAATGAAACATTTTGGTTGTTACCACTTTCACATCAGTTTTATTTTATTTCCCTAGAGAACGGTCTCCTCAGCAGAATACCGTATCGTGTGTGAGTGTGAGCACGCAGACTGCTTCTGATGACCAGGTTATTCAATTATGGGATGAGCTCAGTCTTGTCGGTCTTCCCGACGCCATTGATGTCCAAGCCTTATTTGATCCCACAGGTAGGAGCTGGTCTTCATTCATCACTACCTCTTGATTCTTTAATTTTAGTGAATTACCAACTTCATAGTGAATACCTTTCATCTAGAAATAATTATGATCACATTGTAAAAAATGTCATTGTTAAGTATCCTATTTAGGTAAAATACATTGTCTAATTATGTTGAGCTAATTTAGTTAGCATCTGCACAGAGCTAACCCTGGACTAGATGCTTTCATAAATATTTGCATTTATTTATTTTATTTTTTTAAATATATTGATTTTTTACAGAGAGGAAGGGAGAAGGATAGAGTTAGAAACATCGATAAGAGAGAGACATTGACAGTTGCCTCCTACACACCTCCTACTGGGGATGTGCCCACAACCAAGGTATACATGCCCTTGACTGGAATTGAACCTGGGACCCTTCATTCTGTAGGCTGACTCTCGATCCACTGAGCCAAACTGGTCAGGGCTGCATTTACTTTTATGTAAGCAGCAATGTCATGGTGATCTGACAGTTGAAGACAGAGGACAATTTAAAATATGTGTGAAAATTTAGGGAACATGGCAGTGTGGTATATTTACTGTAGGGGTAAAGCATATTAGTTCTTAGCCGTGTGGGTATCCCATAATAACACAACTAGAGGCCTTTTGCATGAAGATTTGTGCATAGGCCTTTCTTCCCCTGGCTGCCAGCACCGGTTTTCCTTCAGCACTCGGGATCTAGGCCTTGATTCTGGCTGCTGCCTTCAGTCTTCACTCTGGCTAGAGTGCCGCTCCTGTAGCTCCCTCTACCTGCCTGGCCTGGCCACTCCACGCCTGCATGCGTGATGCCCAGAGGCCCAGAGCTGCTGGAGGGTGGGGTTGCCATCAGACTTGTCAGGTTAATTTGCATACTCACTCCTGATTGGCTGGTGGGCACCATGAAGTGACAGTCAATTTGCATATTTCTCTTTTAATAGTGTAGATAGTAATGTATACTCATGAGATGGTGCTGCTGGAATTTTGAATAAAGTTGAATTGTATATTGATAGTAGTTCAACCGCTCTGTGATAGAGAATTTGATGACTGAGCTGTTATCAATGATGATGTGGACTTTTGGTGGGTGTGGGATAGAGCAAAATAGAGGTGTACTGATATATTGTAGCCTATTTGCCATATAGTCTGTCATAAACAAAGTATTAAATTATGTCCTTTATATTTTACTGGAGGCCCAGTGCATGGATTTGTGCACAAGGTGGGGTCCCTTGGCCTGGCCAGCCTGTGGAGATCAGGCTGAAATTGGCTCTCCAATATCCCCCAAGGGGTCCCGGAATTGGGCTCCTGCTTCTCTGGGTCCAGCTGTGTCACCCAAGAACTGCAGCTGCCAAGTAACTGCAACTCAGCAGCTCCTGTGCTGAGTGTCTGACCCCTAGTGGTCAGTGCACGTCATGGTTGGAGTGTCTGTCCCTGGTGGCCATTGCACATCATAGGTACCAGTCAGAGTGTCGATTGCTTAGGCTTTTCTATATATAGATGTGTAAGAGTCCAAATAAAATATCTTCCAGTAATCTATATAAAAGCCTAATGACCGTTACAACTAGAAGACTGGCCAATAGCTATGATGTGCACTGACCACTGGGCAGATGCTCAATGCAGGAGCTGCCCACGGGTGGTCATTGCGCTTCCACAGCCGATGCCTCACTGGTGGCCAACATCTCGTGGTCCCTCCCCCTGGCCGGCTGGCCCCTATCAGCCCCTATTGGGACTGGGTGAGATTGTCCTGGTCACTGGCCAGGCTGTGGAACCCCATCTATGCACAAATTCATGCACTGGCCTCTAGTCCTACTTAATAAAAACCTAATACATTAAGTGTCTGTCCATTCGTCTGTTCAACCAAAGAGTAATATGCTAATGATGTGCTAAGGCTGCTCAACCGCTTGCTCTAACATGCACTGACCCCCAGGTTCTAGACTAGGGGTGTCGAACTCAATCAGAGAAGGGGCCAAAATCTAAAATCCAGCCTAAATTGCGGGCCGAATGGTTTACTGAACAGTCATAAACTGTCATTGTGATGGAAACGCAGCGGAGTGCAGTGATGACAGCGCGGTGAGGGCCACATTGCAAGGCCTGGTGGGACGGATTTGGCCCGCAGGCCTTGTGTTTGACACATGTGTTCTAGACAGTTGACCAGTTCACCAGTTGCTATGACGTGCACTGACCACCAGTGAGCAGACACTCTGAGCAATTGGTTAGCTTGCTGCTAGGGTCTGACTAATTGGGACTGAGTGAGATGTGCTGGACATGCCCTGGAGTCCGCCTGTTATCCCTCCCCCACTGGCCAACCTCCTGCATCCCTCCCTGGCCCCAGTTGTGCATTGGTGGGATCCCTCTGCCTGGCTTGTGCCCTCCTGCAATCTGGGACCCCTTGGGGGATGTCAGAGAGGTGGTTTTGGCCCAATCCCACAGTCCAGGCTGAGGGACCCCACTGGTGCACAAATTCATGCATCAGGCCTCTAGTATTTGTTGCTGGGAGAAATAACTTCTAATTCAGTGATTCTCAGTCTTTTGTGTTCATCAAAATCACCTGGAGGGCTTGTTGGAACATTGATTTCTGGGAAGGGCTGCTTTAGTGCCTTTTTGCGATTTCGGGGGTTTTATGTCTTTCCTTATTAGAGTTCCTATTGTTAATGTTATTCATATGCTCCTTTTCACTCTAATGATCTTAGGCACTTGTTGGGCTCATCACCGCTGTGTGGAGTGGTCACTGGGAGTGTGCCAGATGGAAGAACCGCTATCAGTAAATGTGGACAAAGCTGTTGTCTCAGGGAGCACAGAGGTAAGTAGAAGAAACAGACATTTAAGCATAGCTTTATACATTTCTTGTAGTCAACATAGAAGTTCACTTGTAAGAATTATTTATTAAGTGATTACTGTAATGCAAAAATCTTTAAAATAGGAAATTATTAATTTATATCCAAGAGTTGTTTATGCAAACCCCTAAAACATAGTATGTTAAGTTATACAATAAATGTAACTTTTTAAGATACATATTTTACATTTAAAACAGAAGTTAAAATGTCTAGAAATGAGAATTAGTTACTAAACTTATAAATCCATGTGGTTACATTTAAAAAAATATATTTTTATTGATTTCAGAAAGGAAGGGAGAAGGGGAGAGAGATAGAAACATAAATGATGAGAGAGAATCATTGATTGGCTGCCTCCTGCATGTCCCACACAGGGGATGGAACCCACAACATGGGCATTTGCCCAGACCGAGAACTGAACTGTGACCTCCTGGTTCAAGGTCGATGCTCAACACTGAGCCACACTTGTCACCAGGCCATGTGGTTACTTTTTTTTTTTTTTTTTTTAAATATATTTTATTGATTTTGTACAGAGAGGAAGGGAGAGAGATAGTCAGAAACATTGATGAGAGAGAGTCATCGATCAGCCGCCTCCTGCACACCCCCTACTGGGGATATGCCCGCAACCAAGGTACATGCCCTTGAACGGAATCGAACCCGGGACCCTTCAGTCCTCAAGCCGACGCTCTATCCATTGAGCCAAACCGGTCTCGGCCATGTTGTTACTTTTTAAGACAAAATTATTTGGTGAAGATTTAACCTACCCTGTTTCCCTGAAAATATGACAGTGTCTTATATTAATGTTTGCTCCCCAAAATGCGTCTTATTTTCAGAGAATGTCTTATTTTTCCATGAAGAAGAATACAGGACACATTTATTATTAAATGAAAATAAAGGAAATTTATTACCTGTATACGGTACGGTAGTACGGTAGTTGTCAACACAAATCAGACAAACTGTGAATCCTACACTATCAAGAATTTACTCATTTATTCAATGACCATCATGTCATCATCTTCTGGAACATCATCATAACAATCCAATTCCTGAATTTCCTGGTGAATTTCTTATGACTCCATTTCTTTCAGAATCAGTGGACCAAATCTCTCATGTTTAGCCTTAGGGGGCCTTATTTTTGGGGGATGCCTTATATTTCACTCAGAAGGAAACCTGTAAGTAGGTCTTCTTTTCGGGGAAACATGGTAATAGAGATGATATTTGACACGTCTTTAGTCCACAATGTATACTAGCACTGTTTGATGTTTTAAAAATTGATTAAAATACTTCTTTTCAGCTAAGTTGGCACTGTCCCCAAGTAACATCATGTCTGTAGTTTGCCATCTTTCAGGGCTTTGATTGTGAAACAAGTAGAGAAATAAATGCAACATTCCCCTCCCTCTATAAAGACAACAAACCCTGTGAAGTGAAATTGCTTTGCTGCCTACAAATTCTCTTTGGTTTTTGACAAGTATATTTTGGCAAAGTGAACAGCTCTTCCAAAGAAATATTAAAAATGGAAATTTTGACCATAGAAATTATAGGGTCTTTGATAGGTTGAACATGATTAAAACTTCTAAAAGTGTAAGGACTTAGATTCAAGTAATAGTTCAATTATTATAACATTTGCTTTACTCAGATTATCACAGTGATCTGATTTACATGGATAAGTAACACTCACCTCAAGATTAGTCAAGTGAGAGTGCTTGTTTTGGTAATGTGACATTACTTTTTAATGCTATATTATCAAAATTTGAACAGTGTGATGCATAATAGTAAATTCTACTGTCTGAAAATACTTAGGTGGCCACATCAAGACTATGATAGATCAGTGAGAGCTGTTTTTTTCTGTGAACTCAGAAGTAGTTTTGTGACATTGAAGAGTATAGGCATATCTTAGAGATAATTGTGGGATTGGTTCCAGACCATGCTGAAAGCAGGTATCACAGTGAAGGGAACTGTAATCTTGCTGGTGGAGGGTCTGGCCTTCAGTGTGTGGAAAACTCAGAATGTTTTGTGAAGCACAATAAAACAAGGTCTGCCTGTCTTACAGGAAAGGCAGTGAACAAAGGCTAAAAGGAACTTTTTGATGTTGGATTGGAATTGAAGGAATCAATATGAACTCTTTAATATTTATACAAGTACAGAGATGTAGAGATGTGCATATACTTGGGTTAGTGTGTATACACATATTTCCTAGCTGTATTCGCTAAGAGGGTAAAGGAAAGATTGCCTCATCCTGTCTGTTTTGGAAAGAAGTTACCATTCTTGTTCTTTAAATGCATACTGATTAATATTTAGATGGAATTTAGAGATTAAGGCTATGCCTTACCCCTGACAGAGGAATCAGCGCCATGAGAAATCTGTATTTCTTCTTCTCCTCCACCCCACCTTAATATATTTTTATTGATTTTAGAGAAAAAGGGAAAGAGAGGGAGAGGGAGGGAGGGAGGGAAGGAAGGAGGGAGGGAGGGAGGGAGGGAGGGAGGAGAAACATTAATGATGAGAATCATTGAACAGCTGCCTCCTGCACACCCCTACTGGGGATCGAGCCCACAACCTGGGCATGTGCCCTGACCCCTGACCTGGAATCAAACCACAACCTCCTGTTTCACAGGTTGAAGCTCAACCACTGCGCCAAACGAGACAGGCTGAATTCATTCTCACTTCATCTAGGCACTGTGGACTTGGCCCAAGCAAGTAGAATGCTGGGAATAGATGGAGAGATGAGGTCAGAAAGAAACCAGGGCAGCTTTGTCAAACCCTTACTTCTCTACTGCATTCAGTCAAAGCAGGATAGCATTAGTCTTCCATTGTCATTTTTATGCATTTGTTTTCTCCTTTGTAAATTAGGCACAGGATAGACCAGTTAGCTAGAACTTTAAAAAATTTTTTTCTCTCCTAAGAAGAGTTTGTCTCATTGATAAAAAATTTAAGCATATAACAACACATTTATTGGTGAGACTGTGGGAAATGGGCACTCTGTACTTTGTGGGTGGGAATACAAACTGGTAAAATTTTCTGGAATTAAGTTTGGCTATATCTAACAAGCCACATATGCACTTATCCTGTGATGTTTTTAGGAATCTACACTGAAAACAAGCCTGCATTGATGCAAAACACTTGCACTATTAAAAGTTAAGCATTGTTTGATTTGCAGAATGTTGGAAACAAGGTAAATGACCACATAGAGTAGAATACAGAGGAATATGGCGCAGCTGAAAACAACAGAGGAACAGCTCTTTAAGCTGATGCACAGTGGTTTCCACCAGTACCTTTGAGTAAAAAAAAGTGCAAAAGACCATTTACGGTGTGCAACCCTTTATGCAATAAAGAATAAGATATAAGGAAATATACATGCATATGCTCCTTTATGGGAAAGGATAAACCAGAACTGAAGCTTGGTTCCCAGTGGTGCGGGCAGGAAAGGGATATAAAAAAGAGGGAATGGATTGGCATAGCAGACAGACACTTCTCAGGTATATCTTTGTAAAGCTCTGATTTAGAGCCGTAGGAATGTCTCACATACTCCTAAATAAGGAATTACAACCATCTAGGGAACCAACAAGAATAGCAAAATTTACACTTAGAGGGATAGGAAAGGAAAGAGCTAATCTAAGTAACTAGAAAACAGTATCTTTTTTATAAAATATATTTTTATTGATTTCAGAGAGGGAGAGAAGGATAGAAACATCAGTGAAAAGAGAGAGTCATTGATCGGCTGCCTCCTGCATGCCCTGCACTAGGGATTGAATCTGCAACTCAGGTGCATGCCCTGACCCGGAATCTCTTGGTTCATAGTTTGAGACTCAACCACTGAGCCATGCTGGCTAGGCTGGGAAACAGTATCTTGAATGGAGAACTGTAATGACAAAGAACTGGATGTGGTATAATCCAGAGAGTTAAATGAGTTTCTCACAGGTGCGGGTTAGGAATTCTGAAACTGCTTTACGGATATACCATAAGCGAACAATACGTAAATATGTGGAAGGTAATGAGAGCTAGGTTTTCCAGTGTTGGAGAAAGGAGCTACAAATAGGGAGAGGCGAGCCTGAATTTTGTGGTGTTGAAATGGCATTAGAGGGATTGAGGTAAACTCATGGAGTTGACTGTTTACATTAGGGGTGTCGAACTCAATCAGAGAAGGGGCCAAAATCTAAAATCTAGCCTAAATCGCGGGCCGAATGGTTTACTGAACAGTCATAAACTGTCATTGTGATGGAAACGCAGTGGAGTGCAGTGATGACAGCGCGGTGCGGGCCACATTGCAAGGCCTGGCGGGATGGATTTGGCCCGCGGGCCTTGTGTTTGACACATGTGGTTTACATAGACATGTACTGAACAATAGATGTGTGTATTACCACTGAGTTGGCATTCTACATAAATTTCCTAGCTCTGTCCTGTGAGGCCTGGAAGCTGGGACCCTGGAGCAGGGAGCACCCCTAGTGCCCAGACCTTGGCTTCTAACCACTGTTCTCCTTGAGAAGTAAAGTAGTTCCTGGTGCAGGGACAAACGTGATGAGGCACGAGGGTGTCAGGAACGGACAGAAAGATGGGCACATACGGAGAGCAAGGAGTCAGCTTGAGTGAGTTCTGCAGAGCTTCTTGGAAAAACGACAAAACGGGACCACAACAGGTTTCCATCCGCAGGATAAACTAAATACTCACAAGTCTGGACTGACATAAGTAGTGCAAGTCAGACCCATCTCTTCTTTACCTAACATTCTCCAGTGGTTTCCCATTTCATTCGTAGAACAAAAGCTAGTCCTAACTAACCAGCCAGGCTCTGGGCTCCCCTTCCCTCCCCCAAGAACTTCTAAGACATCACCCCATAGCACTCTTCCTCTTTCCTGTTTCCTTCAGTCACACTTGACCCCGTCTGTGTCCTCCTCAAGTAGGCCAGACATCTCTCACCTCAGGGTCTTTGCACCTCTTGTTCTTTCTCTGTTGAATATTCTTCTTCGATACACGA